CTATCTATCTATCTATCTATCTATCTATCTATCTATCTATCTATCTATCTATCTATCTATCTATCTATCTATCTATCATCTATCTATCTATATCTTTCTCACCTTTTCTCTTTCATCTCTTGCGCGTGCAAGCAAAATACCCTCCTGGGCCAGGATCACGGCGGCAGGGACAGCAACTCCTTTTGTTGCCGCCACTCAGAAGTGAGTAGCTGGCTGCGCTGCGCAGGAGACTCCTCAGCGCCAGACTCAAGTTGGTCCCTTTCGTGTTGACTCAGGAAAGAGCCGGAGCAGCCGTCTCTGGATGTAGAGAGGGAAGAGTTCCAGAGCCCTGCGCAAGGAGAGCCCTGTGCAGGACAGGAGAATTGGAGCTCTTCCCTCCCTGCACTCAACCAGCTGCTCCTCCCCATTCTCCTCCTTCCTGAGCCAACACGAAGGGGACCATGGCTCATGCTTACCTGAGTCTGGCGCTGAGGAGTCTCCTGCGCTGCATACCCAGTTACTCACCTCATTGCACAGTGGCGACAGCGGGAGGAGAGTCATTGTCCCCTCCTCCTTGATCCTGGCCCAGGAGGGTATTTTGCTTACGTCCGCGCACGCAAGAGATAAACACAAGAAAAGGACTGGAGCTCTTCCTGACATTGAGTTGCCTACAAAGGACGCGGAATTGCAAAATCAGGTGAGAGGCTCGTGCCTTCTTGGGGCGGAGAGCAGATTGCGCGATTGGGTCAGCAGGGAGCCGCAGGACAGCTAAGCATGGGTAACAGTCTTAATAGGAAATCTCAGCATACGCGCATCCCATGTTCCTTTATTTTATTTTATTTTCCCCGCCTTGTTTTACGCCTCAGAAATGGTATCTCTTGGCTTCCGTAGCTCTGCTCATCAACTTCCATCACTCTGAGCAAGCTGCTTTCCCAGCGTCCTCTGTGCTTCACAAGTCACTTTTTCCCCCTCCTCGCCTCCATTCCCGCTCCTACTCCCCCCCTCTCACACACACCTCTCCTTCCGCCGCGTGGAGAACCCGAGCCGCTCTTCCCTTCGAGCTGGCTTCTCGCCAGCCTCTCCGTGTGAGGCTCCTCGGCGACCCCTGTGAAAAGGTTGTTCTACCTCAAAAGGGGTCGCGACCCACAGGTTGAGGACTGCTGACCTAAAACTTTGTTTCTGCTGGCATAGTACTTGATCAATGTAATTCTCATCAATCAGTTAAAAAAAAGTTTTTGCACTCTGCAAACCTCCCAAAAATGACCCGTTTTTCGCAAAAACGGGCCCGTTTTTAAAAAAAAGAAGAATAGCCTTGGGGGAACTTGCAAAATGCTCTTGGGGGGGCAAAAACAAGCAAAATACAGCCTGTTTTGCCAAAAAAATGCATGCATAGTCTTACGGAGGCTTATAGAGTGCTGCTGGGGGTTGGCGGGGGCAGAAATGGCCCATTTTTTGCTCATTTCTGCCCTCCCCAGTCCCCAGGAGCTGTCTGAAAGCCTTCCTAAGGGTATGCACAGCCATTTTGGTGAAGGGGGCGGGGCTTCGGGAGGCAAAAAATGCTGTATTCAATGTATAAGATGCACCCAAATTTTCAGCCTCTTTTTTGAGGGAAAAAGGTGCCTCTTATACTCTAAAAAATACGGTAATTGGTGCGTTGTTGAATGCCTTATTTAACAAATAGTGGTCTGGCAACATACGGGCATAACATTCTGAAATCATGACAAACGTAGCATCAGTGGAAATTAATATGTGACACTTCATAAAATTATGAAATCATACTTTTAGTATTTATAGCAATTATATTGTTTCTTGGGAGAGCTGACCTCATCAATTTTCTTGAAACACTGGTAGATTTGCCAATTGCCATTCAAATGTAGAGCATGACTATAGGGTGGCTTGTTGAACCAACTTAAGACTTAGACTTAATCTTCATAAATGTCAACGTCCATAAGGCAGTGACCGTTGCATTGTGAAGGCCAGGGGCAGGACCTTTATAAATGCTTTAAAGGAAATCTCCTTGGGATTATTTAGAAAAAGTGCTTTTATCCATGTACTTCAGATGTCCCAAAGGACCAAAATAGTTTAGAATCGGAAGAATAGCATCCTGATAGCAAATAATAGGTAAATGAAATAGCATTTTGTTTGCAAAATTCATCCAATAATAAATATTCCTTTCTGTGTTTTCTGTTCCCAAGTATTTATACACAGTATTCTCTATTAAACTTATGTCTCTTTAGAGTCTTCAACAGTTTGTCTTTCCGTGTCTCATATTATTCCAAGCACTTTTAAGTTCTTCTCAACCCATCTATTGTGGCAAATTTCATGCAAATTAAATATTTTCAAAATTAACAGCAAATGTCCGGTGAAGATGAAGTTGAGTTCTCTGATAAAGATGAACCCGATGGAGATGGAGATGGCTCAAGTGATTGTCCCACCATCCGAGTTCCTTTGACTTCCCTAAAAAGCCATCAGGGTGTTGTCATAGCAGCTGATTGGCTGGTTGGAGGAAAGCAAGCAGTGACCGCTTCATGGGACAGGACAGCCAACTTGTATGATGTAGAGACATCTGAACTTGTGCACTCTCTGACAGGTATCTTTTTTGGGGGGGAGTTTTATCTCCATCTCTCCCCCCCCCCCTTATTGGCTGATTGTTGATCCTCTACTTTTCTGTAGTGCAAACTTTTCTTTGATAGCAAGGAAGGCTGAATCCCAACATTTATGACAATTGTGAACTTCCAAGATGTTATATGTCATTTTGCCGCTTCTTTGAAGTCAGTCATTCTTCTTATCTTGGATACTTGGGAAACCATATAATCTGAACAAGAAAACTTCAAAGAGAAAAATACTACATTTTCAAGGCTTTACATATTTATTAGGTATTTCTTTTCTTCAAGTTTTAATAACTTCCCTTGTACAGTCTCAGCAGGTGGTAGCATTGGACTGCCTTTTGTTGCAGAGGGAAAGCTAAGCAGGGTTAGATCTGGTTGTCACTTGTATGGACCACCACCAGGAAATCCTAAGAATATAAACTTTCAATGTGTGTGTGTGTGTGTGTGTGTGTGTGTGTACACACCTATGTATTATGTGAGGCTACATGAAATAGCAATGGTAACTTCACTGTTTTATTTATATATATTGTAAATTTATATAAATTTTTGAGTGGATTTTTCTTACAAAGCAGGAATAAAAATTGGCATTAATATGGGGTAGTGTTGTTATTTCCAATCCTTATAATTATATAGTTATTCCTCTATAGTTGATACATAATTTTAGTGACACTGGCTTTATCATTGCAGGGAGCAATCTAATTTTTCTCTTCACTAGATGTAAAAGTGCAAAAATATCTGCCTGATTAAAAAAAGATTCTGCGTAATTGTCCTTGTTAAAATTTGGTTCAATAAAAGAATACAGTGAAATTGCAGCTCATTTGTTTTATGATTAATGAAGTAAAGCACAATTGATGCCAACATTTATGTTTGTAGAGAAGTTGGATGTTTTTGATTCATGCTCTAAATCAAGCAGTTTCAAAAATGATTGTACAGGTTTTAGCAATATCTATCTTAGCAATTGATTTTCTGTGGATTGGTGATGGTATGGAGTTTTTAGGGTTACTTTTGCTCCTTGAAGTGTTGGTAGTTTTCTAGGTAGTTTTCTTGTTCAGATTATATGGTTTCCCAAGTATTCTTCTACTGTAGATAGCTTTCCTAAACCAGGAATGGAAAAAATGATGTGCCTAAATTACAATTTCTAGCATCTTTTACTATTAACTATACTTCCTCAGTTGCTGGAAGTTCAATTCTATCATCTAGAATAGATATTGGTAACTTTTCGGTCTACCAATTACACTTAATCTGGAGGTACTGTATGTGCTAGATAAGGTATTAATGCAACTTGTAGAACAGAATTTCAGGGTCAGGAAGTTAATTTCTTTTTGGAAAAAAATGCAAACTAACCTTTTCTAGAGCCAAATATTCCTGCTTTCCAGCACTCTGGCTCAAACTGATGGAGACTGCACTACCAATTTTTATACCATAAAAATGAGTTAGGAAAAATCTAGACACCAGGAAAAAAAGTGTATATGCCCATTAAGATATTTGAAGACTTCATAGCCATAGCTATAATCTTAAACTATTCCTTGTTTTCAAACCTTGACATGATAGATAGAGCTAGTGTGTTTCTACTGGTGACAAGTTTATCATTTTCTGATAGTTTATTGGTAGATCATATGATTGCAACTGGATATCCTAAAAGAAAAATTAGTTGACACACAAATGTTGCAACATTATGATTTTGTAATCCTAAAATAAAACAAGGACTAATTGCTGTACTTTAGATTTGCTATAAGTTATATAATTATATGTCACTATAACTATAACTTTATAAGCAGTAGTTTTAACAACCCCAAATTAAACTTCATAGAACTCAAAAGTTGTTTAATATTAGTGTCTGAAACTTTCTTTATAGAGGCAAATTTGGTAGCTGATCTAATATGCAAAAATGCTTTTGCTATTGTCACAGATACAGTATTTAATATCTTATGATAGCAGGCTGCATTATGTGTTTCTGAAAACATACAAGAAGCGATTTTCAGATAGGTACTCAATTCCCCCCCCCCCGAATATCCATCATGTTCATAAGTCACATCAGTACAAGAGTGACAGAAGTTTGTTCCCTTACATTTTTTTAAAATGTCTGTATTTAGATGAAATGTGGAATTCCATTCACATTGTTCCAATAGGAAACAAGTAAGATTGCGACAGAATTTTAATCTGTCTTGGGCAAACTTGTTTTGCCAAGAACATTTTGGTAACCATCGGAACATAATTGTTTCTCTGATATTCTTCATTCCCATTTTTTGTAGGCAGGTCCGGCCTTTTCAAAGTTCATAATGTTTTGTTTTGTGGTTTTAGGACATGACCAAGAACTTACACACTGTTGCACTCATCCCACCCAGCGCCTTGTGGTAACTTCATCGCGTGACACAACCTTCCGTCTATGGGATTTCAGAGACCCTTCGATTCACTCCGTGAATGTCTTTCAAGGCCATACAGAGTAAGTGACAGCTTTGTCCTAGAATTTTTTTTAAAATGGGAATTGTAATTGTAATTAGTCTAAGTCTTCTTTTTCCTGTTTGGTGGCCTAATTAAAGCTTTAATAAATGCTGAGGAGAAGTAAGTTACATCCAGTTCAATCATGAAAGGTTGCATACATTTTCAGGTATTTCCTCTTAAAATATTATGTCTCCATATAGATCAATTTTATTAGACTTTGATCAGCAAATAAAACAGAAAAATGAGGATAGAATTAAATAAACAGGAATCCAGATTAAATGTTGCTTTGTGTTTTATCATGGAATATACCGCTTATGACTGTTCCAACATTCTTTTTGGTATGTGGAGCTCCTTTTAGTTATTCAGTAATCTTTTTATTGTATATTTTGATATATTTTTATTTCCCTTGATTCATGGGCATTTGTTTGTTTACCTGTTTGCCTTTGTACATCTTAACAATTTACTTTTATAGATAAAATACCAATTACACTAATTAATGTAATTAATACTTCAATACTTAAATCAATTTTGTGTCAAAAAGATCAAGAATCTTTCATTTTTACTATAATGATCTATTTGTATGCTGCTTTCTATTGATATAAATCATGAAGAGTTGATGTCAGTTTTGTTATCTTTGGCAGTGCCATGAAGCCAAACATGTGAATGGTTACTTTTCCTAATGTCATGTTTCTTGTTCAAGGAGTTCTTGTCTTGAAGAAAATGCAGAAGCACCTATTCAGTTATTAATTTTTTTATAGGAAGTCTGGGGGAGTATTCTCAGTTTCTTTATGGAAAGAATTCAAGGTCAAGTAATAGCTTTGTTATTGGCATTAAAATGTGACAAAGAACATAGATTTCTCTTTTTAATGTCTCTAACACTGCATTGAAATCGGCATTGTCTGATTATAGTTAGTTTCATTGATTTTATAAAACAATTTCTTTTAAAATTTGGGAACTTAACTTTTAAATGGCAAAGAATGCTTATTGATTTGAAAGACCTAGAGAATATCATATTAATCTACTGGTTTTATTTGTAGAGAATGTGTATCTAAAAAGGCTGGATTAAGATGTACCCTTTGATACATGTGGAAGACATTGTATAGCTGGTTTTCTATTATTCTCATGAAAAGGGAAAAAATCAAATCTTTCTAGATTTTTTTGTTCTGTAAAAAAATAGAATGGCTTGTTCTTTCCTTGGACAAGTGGTCAGCACATTTTTAAATCACAAGATGTAAATTTAAAGCTGAAATGTAGTAAAACCCACAAACAATTTTTTGGGCATTGATTTTTCCCCTCCAGCAGATGGCACCTTAATCCTGTTTTGAAACTCAAAATGAGAAATTCTTCTTTCTATGTTCAATCCTTTATAGTTTCTGTGAGGAATGCCATGCTTAATCATTGACTTTGTTGAGTTTTGTTTTTAAAGTTTTATGAGCATATTTCAGTAGGAGTGCATTGATTTAAAGTTATGTCTTCGAGGAAAAGAAAAAAAAAACCCAGCAATGAGAAATAAGCACATTTTCTTCTGTGGGATGTGGTGACTTTATATCAGATGGTGATGGTAATGAACTTTCATGTGATATTAATTGAATATACATAATGCTCAGAATTAATTTGCTCTAATAAAGCTGTTGTGTAGGCTTAATGATACAGTGTTGCTTTGCAACCAGAGGTGTCAGCTTCGATTGTAGCATCATTAGGGAGCTTGGAAAGAATGCACCACAGCCAGTGACTACAGTCAGTGTCCTTGGCCTAGAGATAGTCCTCGATTTACAACTACAATTTGGGCCAGAATTTCTGTTGCAAAGAAAGATGGTTGTTAAGTAAGTCATATACCTATTGTAATCTTTTTTGCCACAGTTGTAAAGTGAATTACACTGCAATTGTTAAGTGAATCATGAGGTAGTTAAGCAAATTGGGATCTCTCCCATTGACTTTGCTTATTAGACGCCAGTTGGGAAGGTTGCAAATGGTGATCATATGACCCTGGCACATGGCAATGGTCATAAATACATGCCGAGTGCCAAGTGCCCGAGTTTTGATCACATTGACCCCAGAGATGCCATGACGGTTGTAAATGCAGAGATTGGTTGTAAGTAACTTTTTAAAATGCTGTTGGAACTTGAAATGGTCACTAAACCTGTACTCGGTGTATACACATGACTGCATATCCTCTGACCCATCCAACATCATAATACAGTTTGCAGACGACACAACGGTGCTGGGTGTCATAACTGGAGGGGACAAATCAGCATACAGGGAAGAAGTCTAGATGATATCCGCATGGGGCTCAAGAAACAACTTACATCTAAATACTAGTAAGACAAAGGAGATGGTGCTAGAAGCACAGAGAGGAACTGTATATCGAAAGGGACTGTGTGGAGAGGGTTTCCTCCTTTAAATTCTTGGGAGTGTTTATTAGTCAAGATCTCACATGGAAGAACAACACATCCCTGGTGATTGGAAAGTCCCAACAGAGACTTCATTTCCTTAGAGTCCTGCAGAAAAATCAGGTGGAATAATGGCTGATGACCTCTTTCTATAGGTCCATGATAGAAAGCGTCCTCACATACTGCATTATAGTATGGTACACTGGTTTAACTGCGGTGGATAGGAAGGCACTACAGAGAGTGATTGACTCGGTACAAGAAACCATTGGTTGCCCTCTAACACCACTGGATGACATCTCCAGGTCTCGCTGCTTTAGCAGAGTAAGGAAGATACATAGAGATGATTCACACCCTGGTCAGTGTCTCTTCGCACTTCTACCATTGGGCAGAAGACATTGAAGCATAGCCAGCCAAACAAATAGGTTTAAAAATAGTTTCTATCCTTAGGCTGTCAGACTCTTAAACACAACCCCAATCATTCCAAACACACACGGAAACATGTGACTAGTTTTTCTTTTCTTTTCTTTTCTTTTTTCTTTTCCCCTAATTACTTGCATAGGGATTATTCTTTATACTATTTATGTTGTTTGTATTTGTGGTCATAAATTGCCCCATTGGGTTAAAACCAATTTCGTTGTATTTATTTTGTACAATGATAATAAAGGCTATATTATAAATGAATGGTTGTAAGTGGAGGACTATCTGTAATTCAGTATCAATTTTTCAGTTATTATTTTCAACAAGCATTTTGGAGAAGAGGAAGGCACCTGATCAGTGGGGCAGAAAAGTGAGACTTGAATAGGTCACAGGATTTTGTATGAAGATTAAGGCAAGTTATGTGCAAAAATATTAGAACTATGGGGAAAGAAACCAAAAATCTATCCAACTCAGTTCCTTTTTTCTTAGAAACTAATCGGTAGGGATTGTACCACTATCAGGACATGGGTTGAGTAATGCTGCCCCACTGATGTTTCCAGCAACTGATATTGTGGAATTTATGGTTATAATAATTGGTAACTACTAGTAGCCCTATTTTTCATCAGTCTATCCAATATCCATTTTAACTATTATAATTGCTTCAAATTCCACTACTGCCGACTTTGAATGTCTCAAGGATTAAACTCAGGCTCTGTTTGTTTTTTCAGTTTCATTTTATCTGGCACAGGATTTTATTTTTCCTTTTTATGATTATTTAAAATGGTTTGAATGCATTGTGGTTATTATCAGTGAATCTAAGGATAATTCAGTGTTTGTTACATTGCAGATCATTATATATTAAAGGTGGCATATCATCATAATTTCAGAAAAAGACTTTTTTCTGAGGCAGGACTTGTAGAAATCACACATTGATGCTTGTGAATAGGGAATTTCATATGTAAATGGAAGCAAGTATTTCCAAACTCATTTCTAATCCAAAGATATGAGACCGGTGTCCTCATTTTCTATTTTTATTTCAGAGAACTGAATTGCAACTTTTAAGTAACTGAAATTAAATTTGCAAAAATAATGACTTGACTGGCTTCAATCTTCTTTTTGAAAAAGGTCTATATTATGTAACCTCAAATTAATGAAGACTTCCAGATGAGAGAAAGAAACAGTTACCTTAAAATGATAGATACTAATCAAAAAACGAAGGGATAATTGGAGTTAATTTCTTTGCTGAAAAGATAGTAAACCTTTCTCCTATACTGAATATTGTCATATGTTAGCAAGCTCCCAGTTTTTCTAAATATCTCAGCATCAGTATCAATGTTGATTCATATTTTTAAAAATTGTTTAAAAATACTGACTTTTTTGCTCTAATATCTTGAATTAGTAGTGTATAGAAGAAAGCTTCAATTTCATTGGTGGTAGTTTTGCTTTTTATCCCCACTTAAAGCCACACCAATAGTTAACTTCGTATACAGGATACTTGTGTTCTTTGTATGACATGTAAGTGTTATAAATATTCCTAATGAATCTTGAGAGTGTTGAAAACAGTAGTACTATTGCTGCATAATGTAGTTCTTATAAATAAATATTACATATATCCGAGTAACACATTTTTAGTGTTTGTCATCTGCAAATGTTGCACCATGTAAAAACCCCATAACATTTTAAAGATAATTATATTGTTGACTGGAAAATCCAAGCATTCATGGCTTCTGATACTATGCAAGTATGTATTGGAATGAATGATTAAATGAATCAAGGTTCCCCCCCCCCCAATCTCCCCCTTTTTAACTTTAAATATTTTATTCTTGTTTTAACTTCATCCAACTGGAATATAATATTTATATGGTTTTTATGTTTTAATTGTACACCACTTAAAGGAAGATGGGCAGGTTCCAAATTGGATAAATAAATAGATAAAATATACAATTTAGAACATTTATTTTTCACTGCTTCCTGGAAGTTGGCCCTTTTATATTTTAAAAAAAAGGTATATGTGTATGTGTGTTTAAAAAAAGCTCTTAACTCTGTCTAAAATGTCATGCTGTGTGAGTGAAATGGACACCACAGTGTTAATTTTTCCCCCAAAGCTGTTCCAAGCCGCACTCTGCATCACCATTTCATGGTCCAGCATTTTCTGCCTCATATTTTCTGCCCCCACCTCCTCCTAACCAGCCCC